AGATGCCAGTTTGAGGACTAAGGTGCACCTGACCCAAGCCATGGCATTTGCAATAGCTTAATATGCTTGTTAAAGCTGGACAATGAATAAGAAAGACCATAAAAGAATGAATGCATTTGAGTTCTGGAGTTGGAGAAGAATATTAAAAGTTGCTGGAAGAACAAATCTGTGTGGGAAGAAGCACAGCCAGAATGCTCATTAGAAACCATGATGGCAAGATTTCAACTCTCATACTTTGGAAATATTGTTAGAAGGACATATCCCTAGAGAAGGATATATCATAAGAGATAAAACTGAGTAGCAGTGATAAAGAGGAAGACCCCCAACAAGATGGACTGGCATAGTGGCAGCATCAATATGCCCAGGCTCAATGACTGTGAGAATGGTGCAGGACTGGGCAGTGTTTTGTTCCATTGTGCACAAGGTCATTATGAGTGGGAACCTATATGATGGCACCGAACAAGAACATATAAATATATATATACATATGCATAGGTATACATGTATGAGCAGATACATACAAATGTAAACAAATATATTAGCATAACATTGTATTTGTTTGGAAAACACCAATAACTAGAATAAGCTATGGACAACATTGCAGACAATGAGTATTCTGAAATGCTTAATTGTGCTCATGGACCAAGAGGCAGTCATCAAACAGAACAAGTGGACACTGAACGGTTTAAAATCTGAAAAGGTATGTACAATGTTGTATTCTTTCAGCATACTTATTCAATCTGTATACTGAACAAATAACCCAAGAAGCTGTATAGGTTGCACCTCAATGAAAGAAAAAAGAAATCTTCACAATTATACCAATAACATCAAGATAAATGGAGAAAGGACTGAAGTTGTTAAAGATTTCGTTTTGCTTGGATCCACCATCAACATTCAAGGAAGAAGTAGTCAGAAATCAAATGACATATTGCATTATGCAAACCTGTTGTAAAAGTTCTCTTTAATGTGTTCAAGGGCAAAGATATCAGTTTGAGGACCAAGGTGCGCCTGACTCAAACTGTGGCATTTTCAATACTGTCACATTCATGTGAGACCATCGAAGAATTGATGCATTTGAGTTATGGTATTGGAGGAGAATATTAAAAGTACCATAGACTTCCAGAAGAACAAGCCAATATGTAATGGCAGAAGTACATCCAGAATGCTCCTTAGGAGTCACCTGACTTGTCTATCATATTTCGGACATATTGTTAGGAAGGAGCAGTCCCTGGAGAAGGATATCATGCTTGGTAAAGTGAAGCATCAGCAATAAAGAGGAAGACTCCCAATGAGATGGACTGGCACAGTGGTAGCAGCAATGAGCTCAAGTGTAGCAACAACTGTGAAATTAGTACATGATCAGGCAATATTTCATACTGTTATGCATAGAGTTACTGTAAGTCGGTACTAACTGAATGCCCCCTTTCAAAAACAACAATAACTAGAACTAGTATCGCTCTTATTTTTTTTTTAACCAATAACACCACAATTTTGTTCACCACCATTTGATACAGAGAGTATCTCATTTTGATCCTAGAAATTCAACGAGCTGGACACTACCTTCATTTAACAAGAAGGAAACCAACTGTAAGTAACTTGCCTAAGTTTACACAGCAGGGAAGTTACAGTGTATCTGACTCCAAAACCAAATTCTTAATAGATACACTTCATCAATGCTTTAATAGATACACTTCATCAATGCTTTAATATGAATTCTCCAGAGATGTGAAACCAGTGAAGCTTATCTGTGCATGGATGGATGGATGGATGGATGGATGGATGGATGGATGGATCGGTGGATGGATGGATGGATGGATGGATGGATGGATGAGTGGGTGGGTGGATGGATGGGTGGATGGGTGGGTGGATGGGTGGGTGGATCGATGGATGGATGGATGGATGGATGGATGGATGGATGGATGGATGGATGGATGAAAGGATGGACAGCCAGCCAGAATGAAAGACAGACAGACAGCCAGATAGGCAGACAGACAGGCAGGAAGGCAGACAGACAGACAAATAGATAACAATTTTCAATTGCTAAATTTTGGAAGTAGATGCCAGGACTTTCTTCTAGGATGCTTTTGGATGAACTCAAACCCCAACCTTTTGGTTAGCAGCTGAGCTGTTGACCATTTGTGCCACTCAGGGATGGCAATCATTAGTTATTTACTTGTTTCCTAGGTAACTAAACATTTTGAGGAGAAAGACCTCTCCTGATCTATGTTTGCATGTCAGAACTTGTCAATGCTAGATGAAATTAGGTGGTCTGTATATTGGTGGAAAGAAAAATAATGCAGAATTCGCTCTTAGGTAACAAGAAGAAGGAAAATGGAATGTTTAAACATTGTAATGTGGGAATTTAAAAATTCTTGATGATAGGATAGAACTACTCTTGACAACTTGACAACAATCATAGATACTAGTTAGCCATTCAGTCAAATGTGTATGCCTTCTGAGGTACAGCATTGTCATTTTAGCAGATTTTTATTTATTCTAGAATCCTAGGAAATCCAGTCACTTCTCTTATTTTTCAGCATCATTGCAGAATGATGCATGAAGTATCAAAATCATATGGAATAAATAGAGTCATTTTATAAAAAAAAAAAATTGTCAACATTCAGTCATTTCAGGACAAAGCATGTGATCAAGAATCACCGATACTTAAGGAAGAAATCTAAGTTGCCCTAAAACATTGGCAGTAAACAAGCTTCTAGTAATTGATGAAACACCAATTAATATACTTCTACAAATGGTTGCAGAGCTGGAAGCACTCACTCATTTTTGCCAAGTAATTTGGAAGAAAACAACCTGGCCAACTGACTGGAAGGGATCCAAAGAAAGGAGATTCAACAGAATGTGGAAATTCATAAACAATAGCATTAATGGTGTTATTAGGTGCCACTGAGTCAGGCTCAACTCATAGCGACTCTGTGCACCACGGAACAAAATAGGGTCCGATCCTGCACCAACCTCATATTTGTTGTTACACTTGAACCCATTACCAATCCATCTCCTTGGGGTCTTCTTTTTCGCTGACCCTTCACTTTACCAAGCATCTAGGGACTGGTCCCTCCTTATACTAAGTACAGAGCACTGTGGCTGTACTACTTCTTCTGATACATACATATTTGTTTGTTCATTTGTTAGTTTTTAAGTATTCTTCTCCAACACCATAAATCAAATGCACCAAAAATTCTTCAATGGTCTTCCTTATTCACGGTCCAACTTTAATGGGCATGTGTGGGAAGTGATTAAAAGCACCATGACTTCGGTCAGGCACACCTTAGTTCCCACAATGATAAATTTGCTTGTTAACATCTCTTGTGCAGCAGATTTGCCTACTGTAATACTCCTCAGATTGATTTCTTAACTGCTTCTTCCATGAGTATAGATTGTGGATTCAAGCAAAATGCAGTGTTTGACAACTTCAATCTTTCCACGATTTATCATGATGATAATTATTGGTTCAGATGTGAGGATTTTTGTGTTTTGACATTGAGGTGTAATCCATTCTGAAGGCTATAGTCTGTGATCTTCATCAGTAAGTATTACAAGTCCTCTTTGCTTTCAGTGAGCAAGATTATATCATCTGCATACCGCAGGTTGTTAATGAGTCTTCCTTTAACCCTATTGCCACATTCTTCTTCATATAATCCAGCTTCCTCAGATGATTTGCTCCGCATACAGACTGAAAAAGTATGGTGAAAGGATATAACCCTGGCACATACCTTTCTTTATTTTAAAGCATCTAGTATCCCTTTGTATTGTTTGAATTCCTACTGGTCTACTTGTCCTAACTGGTCCTCAAGAGAACAAATGAGTGTTCTCGGAATATCTTCTCTTTGTAATGTTTTTCATTAGCTTGTCATGATCAACACAGTTGAAATTCTTTGCATCGTCAATAAAACACAAGTAAACATCTTTCTGGTATTTTCTCCTTTCAGCTAAGGTCCATCTGACTTCAGCAATGAGATCCTTTATTCCACATCTTGTTCTAAATCTAAATTTAAAACTCATTTCTGGCAGTTCCCAATCAGTGTACTGTTGCGGCCATTTTTTAATTATTTTCAGCAAAATTTTACTTGCATGTGATATTAATGATAGTTTTCTATGATTCCCACATTCCATTGGGTCTTGGAATTGACACAAAGATGGATCTATTCCAACTACATAGCCAGATAGCTGTCTTCCAAATTGTTTGGTAAAAATGAGCGAGTATCTTCAGTGCTGTCTCACTTTGTTAAAAGATTTCAATTTGTATTCCATCAATTCCTGGTGCCTTGTTCTTTGTCAATGACTTCAGTGTACCTTGGACAGTGCCCTGTGCATACCTTCCATCTTCTTTAATGCTTTCTGCATCGTTCAATATTTTGCCCATAGAATCTTCAGTCCTTTCAGCTTGAGAAATGTTGATCCTGCTCTCTGCTCCCACTTTTGTTTCCCTAACACCAGGTATTTGCACATTTAATTATAATACTTGCTTTGTCTTCTCCAGCGGCCCTTTGAAATGTTCTGTTCAGCTCTTTTACTTCCTCATTTCCTCCATTCGTGTTAGCATTCTTTATGCTGGAGAGTAAGTTTCAGTGTGTCTTCTGACATCCATTTTTGTCTTTTCTTTCTTTCATGTCTTTTTAATGACCATTTGCTTTCTTCTTGTTTAATGTTCTTGATATTATGTCAAAGTTCTCCTGATCTTCTGTCGTTAGTGTCTAGTACATCAAATCTGTTCTAGAGATAGTCTGTAAATTCAGGTGAGGTATATCCAAAATATGCTTTGGCTCTCATGGACTTGTTTAATTTTCTTCAATGTAAGTCTGAACTTGTATATGAAGAATTGCTGGTCTAGTCCACATTCAGCCCCTGACCTTGTTTAAATTGATGATATTGAACTTTCCTACCATCTCTTCCAACATATTTAGTCAATTTAAATCTTCCATCTGAAGAGGTCCATTAGTGTAATCACATTTTATGATGTTTAAAAGGTATCTACACCTTTCCAACTTGAGTCTACTGCTATGGTGACCGCAAAGAAGGGTGGCGAGAAGAAGAAGGGTCGTTCTGCTATCAACGAAGTGGTGACCAGAGAGTACACCATCAACATTCACAAGCGCATCCATGGAGTAGGCTTCAAGAAGCGTGCCCCTCGAGCACTCAAGGAGATTCGGAAATTTGCCATGAAGGAGATGGGAACACCAGATGTGCGCATTGACACCAGGCTTAACAAAGCTGTCTGGGCCAAAGGAATAAGGAACGTCCCAAACCGTATCCAGGTGCGGTTGTCCAGAAAACATAATGAGGATGAAGATTCACCAAACAAACTCTATACACTGGTGACCTATGTGCCTGTCACCACCTTCAAAAACCTACAGACAGTCAATGTGAATGAAAACTAATAGTTTATGATCAAATAAATGTATAAATCTTAAAAAAAAAAAAAAAAAAGGTATCTACAATGAGTAAGTCACTGGTATTACAAATTTGTCTCATCTGATCCCCAGCATCATTTCTATCAACAAGGTCATATTTTCCAACTAACCAAACCATCCCCTTTGTTTCCATCCTTTTGGATTCCAATCACTAGTAATTATGACTGAATCTTGATTGCATGTTTTATTAATTTAAAACTGAAGAAGTTGGTAGAATTCTGAAGTTTCATCATCACTGCCTTTAGTGGCTGGTGCTTATATTTGAATAATAGTGATATTAACTGGTCTTTCTCATAGTTATATAGATATTATCCTTTCACAGACAGCAGCATTATACTTCAAGATGGATCTTGAGATGTTGTTTTTGATGATGAATGGCATGCCATTCCTCTTCAATTTGTTATTCCTGGCATAGTAAGCCATATGATTGTCAGATTCAAATAGTCAATATCATCAGTTCATTTCAGGTCACTAATGCCTAGGATATTAATCTGTACATGTTCCATTTAATTTCTGAAAACTACTAATTTTCCTAGTGTCCTAATTCCTAATTCCTACATTTAATTTCTGAAAACTACTAATTTTCCTAGTGTCCTAATTCCTACATTCCTACTAGTGGATGTTTGCAGCTGTTTCTCTTCATTTTGAATCGGCCTGAGCAGCAAATTAAGGTCCCAAAAGCTTTTACTCCATTCACTTAAACATGGTCAAGTCTACTTTGAGAAGTCAGCTTTCCCCAGTCATATTTTGAGTGCCTTCTAACCCGTGTGGTTTACCTGACAATATTGTGGGGCTACTCATAATGTTTTTATCTTTTAGCATCTTGTCTGACCATGTTCCACTGCTATTAATAAGGTTTTCAGTACCTAATCATTCAGAAATAGTGTGTCTCTCCTTCTTCCTAGTCTGTCTTAATCTTAAACCTCAGCTGAAATCTGTCCACTATGGGCGACTCTGCTAACATTTAAAATGCTGGTGGGATAGCTTCCAGCATCACAGCTACATGCAAGCCACTATGGTACGGCACACTGACAGTTTAGTGATTGGATCACTAATATTGAAGGCTGTTGTTAGGTGCCATTCAGTTAATATAGACTCATAGTGACCCTGTGTACAACAGAATGAAACACTGCCTGGTCCTGTGCTAACCTCACAATGGTTGCTACATTTGAGCCCATCGCCGCTGCCACTGTGCCAACCCATTTCGTTGGGGGTCTTCCTCTTTTTCTTTCATCCTCAGTTTTACTAAACATCATATCCTTCTCCAGGGACTGGTCCCTCCTAACAATACAAACAATTTATATGAGAGACAAAGTCTGGCCATCCTGGCTTCCAAGGAGCATTCTGGCAGTACTTCTTCCAACACAGATTTATTTGTTCTTTTGGTACTTTTAATATTCTCCTTCAACACCATAGCTTCTACAGTCTTCCTTATTCACTGTTCAATTTTCACATGCATATGAGGTTACTGAAAATACCATGGCTTGTGAGAGGGGCATCTTAGTTCTCAAACTGACATATTTGCACTTGACCACTTTAAAGTACAGAAGTCTTGAGCAGCTGATTCGCCTAACGTGATACATTATTTGATTTCTTGACTGCTGCTTCCATGAGTGTTGATGATTGATCTAAGCGAAATGAAGTCTTTGTCAACTTCAGTATTTTCTCTATTTATTGTGATATTATCTATTGGCTCAGTAGTGAAGATTTTTGTTCTCTTAACATTAAGGTGCAACCCATCTCGAAGGCTGTGGCTCTGATCTTCTTCAGTACGCATTTTAAGTCCTCTTGGCTTTCATCAAGCATATTGCAGATTGTTAATGAGTCTTCCCTCTATTCTGATGCCATATGTTTCTTTATATGATCCAACTTCATGTATTATTCGCTCAGCATACAGATTGAATAAGTATGGTGAAAAAATACAACTTTAGTGTACACCTTTCCTAATCTTAAACCATTAGTGTTCCCTTTTTCTGTTTGCACAACTGCCTTGCTTAATGTACAAGGAGCTCTGGTAGCATACTGGTTACGAGTCAGGCTGCTAACCTCAAGGTCAGCAGTTCAAAACTTCCAGTCATTCTGCAGGAGAAGATGAGGCTTTTTGTTGCTGTAAAGATTTACAGCCTCAGAAACCCTATGCAATGAGTTGGAACTGACTTCATAGCATACCACCACCACCATCACAGTTTCCTTAAGAACACAATTATGTGTTCCAGAATACTCATTCGCCGCAATGCTGTCCAGAGTCTGCCATGATTCACATAATCCATGTCAATCACATAGTCAGTGTTACACAGATAAAAATCTTTCTGGTATTCTCTGCTTTCAGTCAAGACTCATCTGACAAGAACAGTGATATTCCTCGTTCCATGTCCAAGTCTGAATCTGTCTTGAATATCTGGAAGTTATCTATGAATGTATGGTTGCAGTAGTTTTTGAATTTTCTTCAGGAAAATTTTGTTTATATGGGATATTAATGATAGCTGCATGCTGTTGGGTCACCTCTCTTTGGAAAGGGTACAAATATGGATCTCTTCCAGTCAGTGGG